TGGTATATCAATGGTAAACTGGTATATCATTGGTAAACAATGGTATACCAATGGCAAACAATGGTATATCAATGGTAAACTGGTATATCATTGGTAAACAATGGTATACCAATGGCAAACAATGGTATATCAATGGTAAACAATGGTTTACCAATGGCAAACAATGGTATATCAATGGCAAAAATGGTATAACAATGGTATATAAATGGTAAACAATGGTATATCAATGGTGAACAATGGTATATCAATGGTATATCAATGGCAAACAATGGTAGATCAATGATAAACAATGGTATATCAATGATAAACAATGGTATATCAATAGCAAACAATGGTATATCAATGGTAAACAATGGTATATCAATGGTGATGCTGTAAGTGACCCACAGCCTCTGTAAGCTTGAACTCTGAGCTGCTGTCAGGCTCCAGCGCTCAGGAGCTGAATGATGGAATCTGCTGTGTGAGCTGCAGCTGCAGGCAGACAGCTGAACATGAGCAGATTGAGGTGACGAGAAAAAACAGAGTAATATTCAGGAGACAGACGTCCCTCGTCCCCAGAGACAGAAGAGTCTGAGCTGCTCGTCCTGCTCCAGCTCTCTGCTGACAGGCTGTGTCTCTGCTGCTGCCTCCGGCCTCGTCTTCATCCACTCAGCCCTCACCGTGTGTGGAGGAGGAGGCGCCGCCATGCTGCTTTCAAGAGGATCGCCTGACCCAGACCCTGAGGACCTTGCCTGCAGCACAGTCGTGTTGAAACCAGTGTTCAGTGACAACAATGTGTTCTTCTTGTACAGTTTATTTTGAGTTGTGTTGACTGTTCAGTAAAGAGATTAAAACCTTTTGGATCCACTATCTCTGAAACCTGAACCTTACAGCAGGAAGGAGCTCCAGAACAGGCAAGTCCAACTCCAGTCCTCAAGGGCCAGTCTCCTGCAACACATCTGATTCAAAGAGATGATTTACCTCCTCAGTTTGCCGTCAGGTCTGCTGGGGAATACTAATGAAGCACTCCTTGGGTTCAGCTGTGTTGAACCAGGGCAGCTCCTAAAACATGCAGGACACCGGTCCTGGAGGACTGATGTTGGACACGAAGAACTACACTGCAAAAACTGTCCATCTTACCAAGTTTTAAAATCTTATATCAGCCAAAAAGTCTTTTTGATCTTGTTTTGAGACTGATTTACTAAACAAGAACTGATTGTGTAAGAATAATCATCTTGTTTTCAGAATGTGTAAGATTATTTGTCTTGTTAGTCGGAAAATTTGACTGAACGGAGTAAGAAAATTTTACTTGGTAAGATTCTTGAAATACTTGATTTGACTCAATTTTTTCATATATGTTATGAGGCAGACTGCTACATTTACAGAAACCAATGTTTGTAACATTTCATCAACAA